CCCTCTCTTTAAAAAATAAAAATAAAATAAAAACACTCGAATCCCACCTCCCAAAGATAATCACTAACATATTGGTATACTTCCTTCTCCGCTTTTTTCTATGCACATATTGAACATAAAATGAGAGTCACACTTTACATAGTTTTATATCCTGCCCATTATTTCTTAAGCATTTTCCCCATTTTATAATCTTCTTGCACAGATGCAATTTGGTTACAATCAACATGAAGGGCACCACAAAAGGACTGCATAGAGATATCTGGGCAAAAGCACCACTTGGCAGGGAAAATGTGTCAACAGAGGTCCCACAGAATCAAGGAGCCACCTATTTCCCATGGGCCGCCATTTTGCATGGTTGGCAAAGGAGAAAACGAACATTCAGTAAGTGCATTGCCAGGGACTTTGAATATGTCACCTCAGTCAATCTGCACAAATGGCAAAGCAAATACTACTATCCCAGTTTGACAGAAAATGAAACAGAGGCCCAGGAAACTGTCTATCAGGTGTGAGGTGCAGCTGGGCCCTGGGGCTTGGCAGCCCAACCACAGAGTTTTGCCACCCTCTGGGTTCAAGTGTGGGAACTGGGCTTTGAATTCTGGCTTTGTCTAGCTTCAAAATTTTGGCTCCTTTCATATTGACCCAGCAATTCTATTTCTAGGAATCGATCCTTCAGATGAAGCACGCACACTGGAAATGACATTAAGTACAAAGTCACTCCTTGTGGCATTGCTTGCTAAAGCTCACACCTGGAGGCTGACATTTCCATGAACCGGACGCTGGCTAAATGCTGGCACATCCCACACTGACACAAAGAATGAGGTGGCCCTTTCAGGCACTGCACAGAAAGGTCTTCAGAAGACATTGTTAAGTGAAAACGGCAAGGTTCAGGACTGTGCAGATAACTGGCAGTCATTTGTTTTGTGTCATGTATTAAAGGCAAAAGAGAATTTGCTGAGATAGGGTTCTTGCTGAGGTTTATAATTGCATGAACTGTCTCTGGAAACAGCACCTCACACTTCAGTGTAAATTCAGATACCCTGGGAACCCTGCAAAAAATTCAGGTTTCTGATGCTAGGACACTCCTAACTCCTAGGACATGATGAGGCTTCTGATTGGGACAGCACTCTCATAGAAAGATGTGGATGGACACCCCCCACACACACACACACACATACACATGCAAAACAACTTCATTAATATCCCCCAGAGGGGAGATCTGCTTAACTTGTAGACAGGAAAGACAGGAAACTTTACTATGTATCTTTATATACATTTTTTTTTTGCGGGGAGGGGGAGCAGGGATTGAGCCCAAGGATTGAACCCAGGAGCACTTAACCACTGAACCATATTCCCAGCCCTATTTTTAAATTTTATTTTGAGACAGGGTCTTGTTAAGTCGCTAAGAGCCTTACTAAGTTGCTGAGGCTGGCTTTGAACTTGTGATCTTCCTGCCTCAGCCTCCAGAGAGACTCTGGGATTACAGGTCTGCACTACCACACCCAAGCATCTCCATATACTTTTGAACCTTGGACTATGTGATGTATTTTGTAGTATAATAAAAATTGACATAAAAATGTAAGAGGGTTGAGAATGCAGTCTGTGTATGTGACAAAAATACACACACACACACACAAGCCTGGGCACCTTCCTTGACATTAGAACACAGCAAAGACCCTGCTTCCCAGCCCCACCAGAACCAGGCTCCACAAGAGCTGCCTGTCCTCTCCCCTCACTCTGTGTGCCCCTGGGCAAGTCTCTTAACCTCTCTAAGCTTCAGTGTCTTCCTCTCTACCATCTGGAAAGTAATGTCTCATCTGCACAGAATCACAGGGATTAAAGAAGATGTTTGAAACACAGCAGCAAAGTATCGGGCACACCCATGCACTTAGTACCAACTGGGCAGCAGTGAAGGTCATGATAATAGCCGTCATTGCCCTTTCTATTGAGCTGGTGTGTGTGTGTGTGTGTGTGTGTGTGTGTGTGTGTTTCATTTGGGTGTTGGGGATGGAACCCAGGGCCTCAGGCATACTAAGCACATGCTCCTGGGCTGGTGTCTGGATGGCTCAGGCCACCCTCCCACCTGCACTTACCACTACTTCTTCTTCAAAGATCTTCTCACCCTCATTCACTTTCTGGATTTCGGTGTGTTCATACTCATGTGATGGGTCCCCCATGAAGCGACCCTTCACCATGGCTGTCTGTGCCATCGTCTCCTCTGTGGCGGGGGGCAAGAGGCTCCAATCGGTGCAGTTCAGGCTGCCAATGATATCCATCATCACCCCTGGATTCCAACGGCCCTTTACCCAGTCTTCCTGCACCTCCTTTAGCCCTAGTTGGTCAGGCCCCCAAAGAGCTGTTAGAACTTCCACCTTTCTTCCCTTCAGACTCCTAGAAACCCTCAATGCCTGTTGCACATGCAGTCTACCCTCATGCATGAAACAAATTTTGTTTATTTATTTACATATTTATTTATGGTACTGGTGGATTGAACCCAGGGACATTGTTGCATCCTCAGACAATTTTTTTTTTTTTGAAACTCCCAGCCCTATTTTGTATTTTATTTAGAGACAGGGTCTCACTGAGTTGCTGAGTGCCTCACCATTGCTGAGGCTCACTTTGAACTCACAATCCTCCTGCGTCAGCCTCCCCAGCCACTGGGATTATAGACACGCACCACAGCACCTGGCCCACAGACATTTTTATTGTTTATTTTGAGACAGGGTCTCACTAAGTTGATAAGGTTGGCCTTGAACTTGATATCCTCCTGCCTCAGCCTCCCAAATTGCTAGGATTACAGACATGTACCACCAAGTATAGCTCCATTTTATTTTAATTAATTAATTAATTTGGGGGGGGTACTAGGGATTTAACCACAGAGCCACATCCTCAGCCCTTTTATATGTTTTATTTAGAGATAGAAGCTCACTAAATTTCTGAAGCCAGCTTTGAACTTTCAATCCTCAGCCTCAGCCTCCCAAGCTGCTGGGATTACAGGCATGTACTACCATGCCCAGACATTTTATTTTATTTTTTTTAAGGTCAGAAGAATTTTATGATGCCCTGCAACTTCCAATAAGGTCATATCCTGATAAACTCAGAGTAAATTGAAAATATTGCCAAGTAAAAAAAAAATGTATTTGACCTAGCAAACATGGCTCAGCAACAACATCTGCTGGGAGCTACAGCTTACTGCTCTGATCAGCATCCCAAGAGAGGGTCAGACTACATACTGCTATTCAAGAAAAAGATTAATACTCAAAGTACAATTTCCACTGAATGAATACTGCTTTTGCACCATTGTAAAGTCGAAATTTTTTTAAGTCAAACAACTGCAACAGGGGTGGGATTTGTATACTGAAATTATGAGACTCTTCCTGTACATCTGGACTGAACTTCCAAATGAGTTTCTGGAAGCTGAACTTTACTCAATCATGGCACCCCTGCTTTGGTGAGCCCTAATTTTTGCTCAGCTTGACTCCTGAGCCAACAGCATGGTCATCCCTCCTCCCATCTCAGGGAGGACTAACCTAGGCTCAAGACCTTCTCTTCTTCCTCCAGTTTCTCAAGTAATTCCAGAGATCAATTCTCACCTATTTTCTTCTTTGTCTTCCTGAGGCCCAGCTATACCCAGGAAATATACAGAATTCAATCACCTCCACTGGTCCAAGCCACTAATCACTCTTGCCTGGATATTGCAGTAGATGCCTTAACTATCTTCCCTGTGTCAATTTACATTGACTCCCCTCTCAAACTAGTAGCCACCTAACTGTTAAAACCTAAACCAAATCATGTCACTTCTGTGCAGAATCTTCTAATGACTTTTCATTGAACCATATCTTTTCATGCCCCACAAGGTCCTATATGATAGCTTTCCACTCCTCACCTCTCTGATCTCATGTCCTACAACATATTCCCTCCCTCATTCCTCTCTTGCCATGCTAGTTGCTATGAAGCTCCACAAACACACTAAGCACGCGCCTGCATTGGGGCCTTCACACTTGTCTGGAATTCACTTCCCTCAGAGATCCACACAAGTCACTCCCTCAGTCACTTCAGGTCTCTTCTCCAATATCACCCAATCAGAGAGGACATGACCACCCTGTTTAATATAGTACTCCAAAATCTGGATGTGGTGGCAAATGCCTATAATCACAGCTCCTGCCAAGGCAGGAGGATCACAAGTTTGAGACCAGCCTGGGCAACTTCTCAAGACTCGGTCTCAAAAAAAAAAAAAAAGATATAGCTTAGTGGAGGAACACTTTCCTAGCCTGCACAAAACCCTGGGTTTAGTCCCCATCACTGCAAAAAATAAAATAATGCCCCATCCTTTTGGGTGGAGACACTTTAGCTGGCATGTAATATATTTTATCTATTTTGTCTCTATCCCCTTGACCCTAAAACACACACTGCATTGAATAAGCTCTATGAAGACAAAGCCTTTGTATCATTTACCAATGAATTCTTTGCACCTAAATCAATTTTTAGCATGTGGTAGGTGTTCAATACATACTTATACAATAAAATAAAATGAATCCCAATCTCTTGTCTTCAGTCTAAATTTTCCTTCTAGACTTCATATCTGCATTTTAACCTGCCTTCTTATACCTTGCTCTTGGAAACTCACCCCAGATTCACTGAGTCTTCCCAGGTCCTGCTGTCTGAATTCTCTCCTAGCCAGTGGGGCCTGAACTTAGCTGCCTCAGCCAGAAGCAGGAATGGACCTGGAACTCTCCTTCACCACCACTCCCATTAAGCCCACTCTTCCACCTAAATCTTTCCATCCACCACTGCCACCACTACTCCTTCAGTTACTTTTCCCTTTCAAAGACTCTTCATCTTGATGCTACTTTGACTCCTACTTTCAACCTACTTTCAGGCCATTTTGCTCACTCAGTTATAAACAGGTTCTTCTTCTAGCCCCTCAAGGGCTTCCCTTGGCCTCTCTCCATCCACTTCTACAACACCCCATGCTGCACTCTGAGCCTTCTATAGCCAGAGTGCAAAACTTTTCCTCTGTTACTCCTTTCCCCACACTAGCCTGGAGAACTGCTCACTTTTCAGAAGTAATGCAAGTTACTCCCTGATTGATCTTTTTTTTTTTTTTTAAAGAGGGTGGGGGAGGGAGGGAGAATTTTAATATTTATTTTTTAGTTTTCGGCGGACACAACATCTTTATTTGTATGTGGTGCTGAGGATCGAACCAAGCGCGCTACCGCTTGAGCAACATCCCCAGCCGCTCCCTGATTGATCTTAGTTGTTCACTAGAAGACCAGGGCTCTTGGTCTCCCTTTATATATACTTTTCTGTTATAGTTTTTAACACATCATTTGTTGTTGTTGTTGTTGTTTTGGATACCAGGGATTGAACTCAGGGGCACTCGGCCATTGAGCCACATCCCCAACCCTATTTTGTATTTTATTTAGATACAGAGTCCCACTGAGTTGCTTAGCACCTCAATTTTGCTGAGGCTGACTTTGAACTGGTGATCCTCCTGCCTCAGCCTCAGGAGCCTCTGGTATTGCAGGCATGCATAACCCTGCCCAGCTCGCACCAAGCTTTAACTGCAGAATGACAAGTCTGTGCCCCTCCCTTGGATGTGAATGACTCTTAGACAGAGGTATGTCTTGGTCATCTTCCTAACCCCAAGAGACGCACAGGCTGTAACCAGTCAATGTTGGATTGGTATATGGATAAGTAAATGAAGTCTCCAAACAACCTGCAGCTTGAATGGACTGCTTTATAAACTCATAAGTTCCCCCATCATCATTGGGGTGAGTTAAAAAGGCTTGATGGTCCTGTATGGCAGAGTGCAGGGAATTTTTCCTGGTTCTACATACCTCTCCCCATTTCGCCTATTTTCTACTTCCAAAGCGACTATTACTGCAGAGCCATCGAAGATGCTTCCAAACAGCACCAACCTATCCCCAGGGCATCTGACCTTTCTCTAAACTCAATCCTTGGGAATTGCCAGGTCCAGCAGCTGACTCGGATCTGTCTTCTACTACAGGTCTGCCTTCTCCAGGACCTTCTCCTGGCCTCTGTTACTAATCCATGCATACCTAAATTTCTTTTTTTCTTTCTTTTTTTTTTTTTTTTTTTTTTTGGTACCGAGGCTTGAACCCAGCGGCGATTAACCAGTGAGTCACATCCCCAGCCTTTTGAGACAGGGTCTCACTGAGTTGCTTAGGGCCTCGCTAATTTGCTGAGGCTGGCTTTGAACTTGCGATCCTCCTGCCTCAGCCTCCTAAACAGCTGGGACGTGCTCCCCAGCCCCGCCCTCACTGACCTCGCCAGCCACTTCCCCGCCCCCCCCACACCCTAGATCTCCAGGTTCCAAGCCATCCCAGTTCCCACCCCTCAACCCTGCATTTTCGTCCCCAGGCTCCGCCCCCAAGCCTTTTCTCATTCGTGGGCTCTGCCCACTGTTCTCCGACCATAAGCCCCGCCCCTTTCGAGACCCGCCAGCCCTCTCCCTGCCTCGGCGGAGCCCTCCTGGATCCGCTCCAGAGGTCTCAACCGCTCCGGTGCCGCCTCCACCTGTAGAGTGTCTTGCGTGGTGCGAGCTGGTCCTCACTCAGGCCCTGCGCGATGTAGTAATCCGCGACGATGCCGAGGATGCGACCCCAAAACAGGACCCGATCGTATCGGTAGTCGCGCTTCACTAGCAGGAGGGAAGTGAGCAGCGAGGCCCGGCGGTCGGGGCTGAGGCCCTGCCCACTGCCCGACGCCAGCTCCAGCGACAGGAGGAGGCTCTCCGCGTCCATCAGGCCAGCAACTCTGCTCAACGCCTGTTAGGTCGCTAGGAGTAGCCGTCTCCACGGAGACCAAGAATCCCGCCCCCTGTCAGGCAGGAAGCAGGATTTTACTCACCCGACCGCTGACCTCCCGGCCCTTCCCCCAAAGGAACATTTCCACAAATCCTGGCTTACACCAGCCTCCTCTCCCATAACTTACCTGTTTGGGATTCGAGGTCAATTGTCACAGCGCGGCTTCCCTATTGGACTATAGTGTGGGGTTGGAAGACCCAACCCTGCCCAATTCCAGAGGTTTTTTGGCCTTCCTGCCCTTTCTCCTACTCGACATGTATGCTGTCTGTATATGTAGATACACTGCAAAGGGAACTTTGGGAGAAAAACAACAAAACCCCAACACTGACACTAGCTTTATTGTTTCAGCCAGGGCTTAAGAGTTATGTGAAGATCTTTTATAGCCTGCTGGCTCTAAGATTCTGACAATCTCCCAACCCCCTAACTCCCACTCCAGGCCAGGTCTTAAAGAATGGGTTCCAACCATTCCATAATCTATAGTCTCCAGCGGATGTCCCTTTGTCTACTTGATAAGACTATTCTACCTAAGTGACAAATGAAGATGAGGCAATGGGAGGTGTAAGACTACACCATGAAAAAGGATAATGTGGAAAGGGGTACAAAAAGTGCGACATTTACAGACTGCACTTGCTCATCAGCTATCTTTTTACATGTACCTAGCTTGGGCCCCACAACTGCTTTGAGACCCAAATGGTAGCAACAGATTAAAAGCCAGAACCCCGCTGCAGCTGGGGCTCTGTTCTTCCTGGGACTGGAGGCTACTACTTCACAACCACCTCTGGGGTTCCCCGCCAGGCAAAAAGGTTCCTTAGCAAGCTTGTTGCCAGGGAAAGAGGGTTTTACTGCTAATATTAATTGATCTTCATTTCTGGATTCCTTTGGAAAAGACTCATGAGATCAGAATGACCTGGGCCTCAATCCCAAATCACTGAGAAATAAGTGTCTAAATTATCCAGATATTACTTTGCTTTGTCTAGGCATTGCTTATGAAGGCTTTTTTAAAACTAAATTTCTTTTTTTTTTTTTTATACTGGGAATTGAACCCGAGAGGTGCTTAAGCACTGAGCAGCAACCCCAGCCCTTTTTGAGACAGGGCCTCACTAAATTGCTGAGGCTAACTTTGAACTTGAGATACTCCTGCCTCAGCCTCTAGAGTTGCTGGGATTGTTGGCATGACCACAGCAACCAGCTGAAGGCTTTTTTTTTTTTTTTTTTTTTTTTTTTTTTAGTTGTAGATGGATACAATACCTTTATTTATTCTTATGTGGTGCTGGGGATCAAACTCAGTTTCTCACATGTGCTAAGCAAACACTCTGCCACTGAGCCCCAAGCCCCAGCCCCAGCTGAAGGCTTTTAAAATAAGCATTTGAGGAAGCTGACTTTGCTTAATATGTCTTCCACTCAGAACAATTTATAGCCCCCTTATTCACAAGCTCTCCACTCCCTTTAGTCAACTTTCCACCATTCCCTAAGTGGGAGATTTGGTCCAATTCCAGTTCAGAAATTGGCTGGTGGAATATGCTTCAAGTGGTCAAAGCACAGAAAAGTGCCCAATGTTTTGTTTTCACTGATTCTGTATTTACCTATTAACAGCAACCAGAATCTGAAGCAAGAGGGGGGAGTTCTGTACCTTCCTATCTTTGGAAGGGCAAATTCTAGCTATTTCAGAGGAAACCTAACAGGATGTACAGCATCAGCCTCTGAAGCCAGGTGCACCAGATTTGAGGTCATGTTTTGCCACTTAAACAGATTATCTCCCCAGTCCTAATCTATAAAATGGAGACAATCATACATACATTGGGAGGTTCTTTTTTTAATATTTATTTTTTAGTTTTAGGTGGACACAATATCTTTATTTTGTTTTTACGTGGTGCTAAGAATCAAACCCAGTGTCTCACGCATGCTAGGCAAGCGCACTACCACTTGAGTCATATCTCCAGCCCCCATTGGAAGGTTCTTTAGCTTAGATAATATATGTAAGTACTTTTATTCTTGTGGCATTGGGGATTAAATCCAGGGCCTTAAACATGCTAGGCAAGCATTCTACCACTGAGCTACTACTCTAGTCTTATGCAAGTGCTTAAAACACAGTATACAGGGGCTGGAGATGTGGCTCAAGCGGTAGCCTGCTCGCCTGGCATGCGTGCGGCCTGGGTTCGATCCTCAGCACCACATACAAATAAAGATGTTGTGTCCGCTGAAAACTAAGAAATAAATAATGAAATTCTCTCTCTCAAAAAAAAAAAATAGTATACAGGCACATGGAGCTGTGTTCTGGTGTGGAGGCCACCAGCCTGCTGTTGCAAGTATTGGGCTTTAAAGATGAGGTCTGTAGCAGAGGGACATATGGAAGTTTGGAAAAACAAATGCTCCAAAACACAACCCAGGCATGGTGGTATACACCTGTAGTACCAACACTTGGGAGGCTGAGATGGGAAGATCACTTAAACCCAGGAATTCAAGACCAGCCTGGGCAATATACCAACAAAAATAATTTTAAAATAATAAAATAAAAAATTTTAAAAGCTATTGTCTGGATTGGGGATGTAGGTCAGAGGTAGAGCACTGGTCTAAGGTGCTGGGCTTGATTCCTGGCATCACAAAAAAATTAGTAAAACCAAAACACACCAAAAAAAATTAAAAACGACAGAATCGTTAAAAAATTATCTTCACACAATCCTGGCAATCACCAAATCTGAATGACTGCCAAGGAGAAGACCTTGGAAAAAAGCCTGCAAAATGCTGAACATTCAGGTTCTTCCAAAACTGTGAGCTAAATAAACCTCTTTTCTTTATATAGGAAAACAAAAAACAAAAACCCTATATATTATATACACTGTTTCAAGCACTTTACATACATTGTCTAACAATCTTGCAGTGTATATATCATCGTCTTCATTTTTACACACACACACACACACATGAGTACCTGCACTATACCCATCTCCAACACTAGCAGGGTGACAATTCTATCCTCAAATTGCTTTGAGGAAACAAGCTCCAACCCTTGATGGCAAGAACAGTGTCAAGTCAGAGAGGAAAATAGCAAGGATCACAATGGCCAAATTACATGTAGATGAAGAGGAACTGCTATAGGCAGGAAGGTGGGTGCCACAGTCTGTCTGGGCACAAAATAACGAGCCACTCAAGCAGGAACAAACTTTATTTCCAAAACTCCCACCAATGCCATGCACACAGCCTTCTCCTGGGACACTCTACACCAACAGGAAATCCCTCCTCCGGAATTCCCTCCTACCGCACTCCTCAACCAATGGGAACTCTCCGGGAGTCCTGCAAGAGCTCCAAAGTAGCAGGCTGAGAAGGACAGCAGGGGTCTAATCTCCAATTGAATGCACATCTTAACATAATCATTATCATCTCAAAAATGCTATGCATCATTCCTACTTGGCTATGGCTCTCAACATCTCCCCCTTCTGTTTAATTAAACAACAAGCAATGTGGCTTAGGGGACCATGCCTGTTAGGTTGTCCAATACAACATATGGTTCTTACCCGTCATTGGATAAGCTAACCTCTAGGTGTCAGCCTCCTGTCTTACGATGATACCACTGCAATTGGATCATACCTATCACTGACTACCGATCCAGCATAGAGCCATACTTGTGGATAGGCCTTTGCATCAGTGTGTGAGGGAGTGAGGTTCTTTGCCTCACCTCTGTTGGCCCCCAAATTTTAGACCATCACTAGTAGAAGGGAGGAGGATACAGAAATGCCACGACACCAAGCCAATTGACGGCTCCTTTGGAAAAATTGTATCACCGGTGACACCATCAGCAAAGATACGCCAGCACTACCACAATTCCTTGTACCAACAGATAGTTCACAATGTATACAAGTGATACATAGTCCAGGCAAGTTCTGCAAGCAGTTCAAAGCGGAGGAATCTATCAATATGTCCATTTCTTCCCAAAGTAAATCGACTCCTTGATTGAGCATTACTTGTTGAGTTATTATTCATTGATGCATCAGTTTATCTAGTTTACTGTGATACCTATTGAAGAAGGTGTAGTTTGGTTTTTATCTTTGTCTTCACCGGCACTGGGATGAAGATAGGAATTCTGGCAATGATGGCAAAAAAAAAAAATATGTAACATTCCAACAGGTACTAAGAAAACAATTTTCTGAACAATTTTCATTATCCTGAACAGAATTATTAAATATAATGAAAAGGAAAGGTGAAAGTAAACAAACAGATTTGTTAACCTCCTAATTTGTACACATATTAAAACAATTCTCAACAGCTGTTTACCTAATTTAAATTAAACCATTAAAATCATGTGAATAACAAAAAAATTCAGATCCATTTTTCATGAGCACTCCTCATATATGATATATGGATATACGCACACACAGACATACAACACAAAACACAAGTGTGCACACAAACATACAACACATAAGACAATAGTAAAGGCCTTGTAGCTTACACAGATGAAATCTCCATTGCAATGTTTAAAAAGTCCATAGTCAAAAAATAAGAACTGATCAGAAAAACATTAACCTAGGTCTGTATGAGCTCAAAAAATAAAATATAACTTTATGATGTGGAAAAATGCAATAATAAAATAGATATTGAAAAAAGCATCCTGGTTAATCAATGTCTCAGATGTAAGAATAGCCAAGCTGGAGCTCTGGATATCAGCTGTTATGGATTTGAGTCAAATCATCTTCTTTTTGGTCTGTAGAAATCACTTTGGTTAGTCTCTCTGGAATCCAAATTGGCTGCTCTTCTCCCTGTGGAAACACACAAACAGAACCCCGACTCCAGACAATCACTGGGTCAGGACCTTTCCATTGTCCTGTTAGAATATCCTTCCAAAGTACCTTAGGCTTATGTACATTTTTTAGATACATATGCCTTTCTGCAGCACTAAGCCCTGATGAATCCAAATTTTAAAAGTTTAAGAGTAAAAAGGGTTATTTTAAGTTTATCTTTGGGGGATATATACCCCTTTACAATTCCCTCTTTTTGCTTTAATAAGTACATTT